CCGGGCCGCTTCATCCAACAATACCGCCGAACCAAAGTATGACATGCTGGTAAGCAGTATGACTTATATCGCTCACAACTCACTTGTGTTCTACTCGTGCATAACATCAACACATAAAACCTAGGCTCTGATGCCACTGTTGGGGAACGTAGTAATTTCAAAAAAAATTCCTACGCACACGCAAGATCATGGTGATGCATAGCAACGAGAGGGGAGAGTGTTGTCTACGTACCCTCGTAGACCGGCAACAGAAGCGTTGACACAATGTAGAGGAAGTAGTCGTACGTCTTCCTGATCCGACCGATCCAAGTAGCGAACGTACGGCACCTTTGAGTTCTGCACATGTTCAACTCGATGACGTCCCTCGAGCTCCGATCCAGCAAAGTGTTGAGGGAGAGTTTTGTCAGCACGATGGCGTGATGACGGTGATGATGTTCTACCGACACAGGGCTTCGCCTAAGCACCGCTACGATATGACCGAGGTGGAATATGGTGGAAGGGGGCACCGCACACGGCTAAGGAACGATCACGAAGATCAACTTGTGTGTCATGGGGTGCCCCCTTGCCCCCGTATATAAAGGAGGAAGAGGGGGAGGTGTGGCCGGCCCAAGGGGTGCGCCTGGAGGAGTCCTACTCCCACCGGGAGTAGGACTCCCCCCCTCCTGCCTTGTTGGAAAAGGAAGGAGGAAGGGAGAAAGAGGAAAGGGGGGCGCCCCCCCCCCTTCCTTGTCCTATTCGGACTAGGGGGGAGGGGGCGCGCGGCCTGCCCTGGCCGGCCCTCCTCTTCTCCCTTAGGGCCCATGTAGGCCCAATAACCTCCTGGGGGTTCCGGTAACCCCCCGGTACTCCGGTAAAATCCCGATTTCACCCGGAACGTTTCCGATATCCAAATATAGGCTTCCAATATATCAATCTTTATGTCTCGACCATTTCGAGACTCCTCGTCATGTCCGTGATCAAATCCGGGACACCGAACAACCTTCGGTACATCAAAACACAAAAACCCTAATTACGATCGTCACCAAACTTTAAGCGTGCGGACCCTACGGGTTTGAGAACTATGTAGACATGACCGAGACACGTCTCCGGTCAATAACCAATAGCGGAACCTGGATGCTCATATTGGCTCCTACATATTCTACGAAGATCTTTATCGGTGAGACCACATAACAATATACGTTGTTCCCTTTGTCATCGGTATGTTACTTGCCCGAGATTCGGTCGTCGGTATCTCAATACCTAGTTCAATCTCATTACCGGCAAGTCTCTTTACTCGTTCCGTAATACATCATCCCGCAACTAACTTATTAGTTGCAATGCTTGCAAGGCTTGAGTGATGTGTATTACCGAGAGGGCCTAGAGATACCTCCCCGACAATCAGAGTGACAAATCCTAATCTCGAAATACGCCAACCCAACAAATACCTTCGGAGACACCTGTAGAGCACCTTTATAATCACCCAGTTACGTTGTGACGTTTGGTAGCACACAAAGTGTTCCTCCGGTAAACGGGAGTTGCATAATCTCATAATCATAGGAACATATATAAGTTATGAAGAAAGCAATAGCAACAAACTAAATGATCAAGTGCTAAGCTAATGGAATGGGTCAAGTCAATCACATCATTCTCCTAATGATGTGATCCCGTTAACCAAATAACAACTCATGTCTATGGTTAGGAAACATAACCATCTTTGATCAACGAGCTAGTCAAGTAGAGGCATACTAGTGACACTCTGTTTGTCTATGTATTCACACATGTATTATATTTCCGGTTAATACAATTCTAGCATGAATAATAAACATTTATCATGATACAAAGAAATAAATAATAACTTTATTATTGCCTCTAGGGCATATTTCCTTCAAATTAGGTCAAACGTACGGTCATGGGCCCCACAAGCCAATAGGACGCGCCCTGGTGCCTCCTGGGCACCTCCTTCATCTTCTAGCCCTCTCTCGAAACTTCCAGGGTCTCTTATGTCCAGAAAAACATCTCCAAAAAGTTTCGTGGCATTTGGACTTCATTTGGTATTGATATTCTAGAAAATTAAAAACAGGCAAAAAACAGCAAGTGGCAATTGGCACTACGTTAATAGGTTAGTCCCAAAAATAATATATATAATGAGATATAAATGTATATAAAACATCCAAGATTGATACTATAATACCATGTAACCATAAAAAATAGAGAAACGTTGGAAACGTATCAATCGCCTACCAACTATTTGATGATGGGTACCTGTCCCGACACCCCCTCGCTGGTGTTTTCACTCGCTCCTGCATTAGACACCATTGATAAGAGCATGGCCGAGCAACATGACAACTCTAAGGAGAATGTCAATTTTGTTCGAAAGGTGGACATCTACTTAGTGCAGCATGTGATCGCAGTTCATTAGTTTCCTTCATCTCATGCTCACTAGCTAGTTCCTTTCCTGTTAAGTGACCCAAACTGCTACTACATTAGTTTGCTTACTGCCATTGCAATGGTATGAGAAGCATGTGTGGCCGCCCCCTTTTTGGATACAATTGCACTGCACTTGCAATTATTTTCATACGATAGTTTTGAGTTTTGCCAATCTCGATCACCACTTGATCAGTTGTATGAGCAAAAGAACACATGTAGATTACTGGATATGAGTAGATGTTCCCTGTTTGAGCTGAGCAACAATAGCAAGGTTATAATTCATGCTCATGCAACAAATGAAGGTGCTGAACAATACGTCGCTGGCAAACAATTGAAGCATTTTGGTCAATTGGGTTCAATTAGAGGGGTGGTGTGCTACTAGGAAACGAGGGTGCTATTTCATTTCATAAGCAGTATGGTTCTGGCTATGGACTTGTGAAAAATGCATGGATGAACTCTTGGCTACAACATTTGCTTTTGAGAGATGACTGGCGACCACCTTGGTCGCTGTCAGAGTTAGTAAAATTGCATAGACTTGATATGATTTTTTTCCCAATTGGTTGTGTTTCCAGTTCTCTAACGCCTGAAATTATGGAGGGAAATCAGTGGGCACTTTATTCCTGTGAAGTATATCTAGGGCAGCACTGACAATTAACCTAGTGGGAGTTTTTTTCCTTGTATACCAGTAGCCAAACCACCTGACAGTAATGGGATGCTAAGATCCTGTATGTATCCAATGCCAAGTTTTTTCCATAAGGTGCTGAAGAGGTACGATTCCTTCTCTACACTGAATTCTTTTAGAGTGGAGTTGCAGTGTGGTCTTGAGCTTATTCAATGGAAGATTGTCTGGTTAAATGGCAAGTGCTCCAAAATTGCATGTACGAATTTCATATACTTGTTGTAAGTACTAATGCAATGGAAGGTTCCATTGTTACATCCATTACTTGAGGGTTGGTTCTAGTTTTACCCTATTGGAAAAGCCTTTTTGTATGGCTATAGTTTTGAACAAATTCAGTGGGGGATTGCATGGTTGATTGGTTCCCTACGAGCCAATATTTTCTACTGCTTCAAGGAATACTCTAGTATTTGGGGTTTCAAGGTGCAAAATTGGAAAAATGCATGGACACTCGACTTGGAGTCCTCTACAATGAGAAGTGAAGGTTTTGGCCATATTTTATTTGATCTGACGGTTGCTTATGTGAAGAATTTTCATCATGGATCTCCAACAATAACCCAAGTGGTATGTTCTTTGCCAAAGTACCTGTTGTAGTGCAAAAAATACCTTCTCCTTTTCACTTGTGCTGAAGATATCTGGTTTCAACATGATTGCCAGTAGAATCATCGCTAAGTGTTCTGCCATCGACATGGTGCACTGCAACTTCTCATCCATCTGATTCCTATGACAGTTGCTTTATACAACTGGCGTTTGAGTTCAATCGCCTGATGATTTGGATGATCGCTTGGGTGCCATGGTCCATCGACTTTGAGCCCTTATCTCTTGATAATCAAACCAGACAAAAGATTTCTATGACACGGGCACCGTTGAGACTTCTAGTGCTATGTGATCTAAGTGTTCGGTGTTCAGTTGAGAGCAATATATGCATGGCACTGACGTGTGGGAAGTGGCCTTTAGTGAACGAAGAAATGTCATGGCTCAAGTCATCATCATCAACCAAGCTCACATAGATGTCTTCCTCGATAAGCCTTCACTTCTTCAACCGACGTCAAATTCACGTTGACCATGGGATCCTGGTGGCGCTATACAACATCGACTTGAGGGCAAGTGGAATCTTATGGGGGAGGGATTGTCAACGACCCTTACCTTCACTCGGTGGGCCATCATCGTCGCAAGAGGCCCAACCAAGATGGTAGTAGGATCAGGCACTATAAAATGACTAGGAAGGACCACGGAATGGGTGGGCTGGACAAATAGGCTTTGGCTTTTGGATGGCGAGGCATGCGTCTCCTCTCCTCTCCCTCGCTTTCTTCCCTTGTCTCCTCCTGAACTCCGTTAAATAGCTTCCAATTCCTTCACAAGTAGCTTGTAATCTCTGAATGCTTACTAGTTGAGGCAATACAGTACTAGGTTGTTAACATCCAGACCCATGGGGAGGGGCGTGGGTCTCGGGCGGACGGGTCTGGTAGACGTTGACCCGGCCAAAACTGACCTGACTGCCGGCTTGAGTTGTGTTCGCGCTGAAGATGTTTTTGATGTTGCAAACTTATTTAAAAGAGATGTTTCAAGTAGAGAGGGGTTTCTCCTCTAAAGATTGGACGGCTCGGGATCACGTTAATCAGATTATTTTTGTTCGCAACTTGTCCAAACGTAGGTGGGTAATGGACTCCTCAAAAATTCCTAAAGAAATGAAACCTTGGCAGCCGACCGCGACGTGTCACTGTCAGCGCGCCAATTACGTGGCCGCTTCGACGCGGGCCCCACCGGTCATCAAGACCAAACCGGCTTAACCCAACCGCAATCCATTGACCTCCCCGGCCACCGCACTGGTGCTGGTGCACACCCCACCCTCGCAATCCCGTCCTTCCAAACCGCTTTCCCCCGAACGCCGGGCGGCTGAACGCGTCCCCATCCCCTCATGGACGCCGCGAGCCGCACCTGGCCGCCGCCCAACCCCTCGCCGGCGCCCTTCTCCTCCCGGCTCCGCGCGTCCTCGGACCCCCACCGCCGCCGGCGCCGCCGCCACTCCAAGAAGCCCAAGCCGGAGCCGCCGGCTCCCCCGCCCAAGAACGCCCCCGTCTGCTCCGGCGCGGACTTCGAGTCCCTCCCGCCGGAGCTCCTCCACCGGGCGCTGTCCGCGGCCGGCGCCGCCGACGTCTCGGCCGCCAGCCGTGCGTGTCGCTCGTGGCGAGACGCGCTGCAGCCGCTCCGCGAGGCGGCGGCGCTGCACGCGCACGGGCGCCGCCTCAAGCACGGCTCCGCCGTTCCCGCCGGACTCGACGGCGAGAGGCGCGAGGCGGCGAGGCAGAGCGCGCTGGGTCTCTTCAAGCGGGCGGCGAGGCTGGGGTCCGCGGCTGCCATGGTGGACGCCGGGCTGATGTGCTGGGAGGAGGGGCAACGGGAGGAGGCGGTGGGGTACTACCAGGCGGCGTCGGAGCTGGGACACCCTGTCGGCATGTGCAATCTCGGAGTGTCCTACCTCGAAGGTATCGTAGATTTGGCCTATATTTCCTTTCTTGGAGGGTTGTTCGAGCTGGTAGCAAAATGGTTAGTATACAATCTTATTAGGACGAATTTGTCTGGTCCCATACTGTCCTAGATTGGCAGGCATGATTAGATTTGTTTACCGCACAGTCCGAGACGATCTTTTATAGGGGGAATTATTGATTGTTCTGGCTGTGGCGTTTGCCTTCTGCTGTGTCTTTTAGGTAAACTCTGGGGCTCTGCTCCCGGTTGATCATAAACTCCGATAGTAATGACGTGATCAACGCAATGAATGGCGGTGGCAATTTCTCAGGACCGGCGGCTGCAATCTTTGATAACTGCTACCATATGTCTCGGGATCTTATTCAGGTCCATTTCGAGCACTGTCATGGGGAAGGAAATGCCGTAGCGCATGAGTTGGCTAGAATGGCTAGGTTTTCTTCTCTTAGTACTTGGTTTGATGATGCCCCTAGTGCCTATTATTACCCCTTTGCTTGTATTTGATGCTACTGTGATCGCTAGTTAATAAAAGGAGTTTAAGTGTTAAAAAAACTCTGGGGTTCTGCTGGCCTTTTAAGTAAAGTCTCAGGTTCTTTCAGTCTGATTATAACCTCTAAAGAGTGATAAATACCTAACTCGCAGAGGAAATACCTTTTATGTATTTTACCAACTTGTTTTCAATCAAACTCTTCATCTCGGAGCATTAGAAATTCAGAATTGACAATGTTGCCAAATCTCTTTACACTACAGCTGATCCACCCCAGGCCGAGGAAGCTGTTAGATGGTTTTATCCAGCTGCATCCGCAGGCAATGTTCGTGCCCAGTACAACCTAGCCCTCTGCTTGCAGAATGGAAAAGGAATCAAGCGTAATCAACGGGAAGCTGTAAGATACCAGCTCTGTGTTACACAGCTGTGATTTTCATTTTTTTTCCCCAGATCAAAGTAATTAGTTACTCCTGATACTTACAAGTGGAACCAGTTTCACTGTTTTGATATCTAGTCTCTCTAGGATTTATTGGTAGCGCATCTCATGTGTGAACTAGTTCTGCATTAGACAGCGTATAGGTGTTCTTATTTTTGGCTCTGTGAGGATTTTGAAGCTGATTTGTTGTGCTTTCATGCTTTTAGTTGTTGAACTTCGCTTAGAGAACTGATTCATTGATCTTGACACCCTACCAAGGTTATCAGGATTATATCACCCGGATCCCTCATAATACAGGAGCTGGTCGATACAAGATTACCCTCCGTAGCAATTATGTTAAGGTTCTTACCTTTACATTTCAAACTGACAGAAACTTGTAAATGCAGGCAAAGTGGTACTTACGAGCTGCAGAAGGAGGGAATGTACGAGCCATGTATAATGTTTCCTTGTGTTATGGCTTTGGTGAAGGGTTTACACCGGATCCAGTGCGTGCAAAGAAGTGGCTGCAACTAGCTGCTGATTGTGGTCACAGAAAGGCTCTTTATGAGTCTGGTATTAAACTCTGTGCGGTATGTCATCCCTTTTCCTTTTATTCCTCGGGAATGCATGTATTACATATCTGAACTATTATCTTAAACTGATTACATATTTTCATTTTGGAATGGTTTTCTTGTGAAGAAATGATGCGTTCATTGTATGTATTTATTTTTTCCTGCCATCCTGCATTGTGTGCCACTACATTTATCAATGCATAATTGTTGCCCACTGTGTGATGCTTTGTTCTTTTAGTTTGGAAGTCCTCAGGCTGCATACAATTGTAGCAGCAAGGAGCAGTTGACTTTCTACCTAGGACCTACACCAAACCACCCCATTTTGATGTTGGTTTAGTTTGGCATAGATATATTCTCACAAAAAGAGACCTAGGTAGACAGAAACGAAAGCAGCAGTATATAATATCTTTGTCAAGATGGTTGGATTAAGGAAAATTGAGAACAAACAACCATGATACAGTGCCTGCACTGGTAATGAAGGTCAGCATTGTAAACAAGCTGGGCCATTGACACACATAATCTTTATGATATGCCAACCATTCTTATCTTTATTTTTTTCTCTAAAAAGAAAGGTCAGATGCACTGTCTGTAACACTATAATGACTGGCTCTTCAGTGTTTAAGTCATGCATTACATGTATCTTCTTGTTACATCCTTTTAATGATGATGCTTATGTTGTTTAGGCAGGAGACAAGATCAGGTCTCTTATGTATCTAGAGCTGGCAACACGCCATGGAGAAAGTGCCGCCTCACATATGAGAGATGTAATACTTGAATCACTCTCTCCTGCGAATGCCCAACGTGCCCTTTCAGATGCTGATAAATGGCGACCGAAATCTCTCTCTGCCAGAAGATGAGCAGATGGCTCCTACCAAACACTAACAACCCCTTTATGGGGCTGGCCATTAACTACATCATTTCCAAATCAGGCGCTTCCCAAAGGGCCAAGTGGGCATGTACGCATCTACTTCCTCCGTCCGGAATTAGTTGACATTCAAACGGATGTACCTAGCTCTGAAATACGTCTAGATACATCCGTTTGAGCGTCAACTAATTCCGGACGGAGGGAGTACATCAAAATCATCTTCATGTCCTTTGCCTTGGCTTGCTTGTAAATCCTATCATTACAGATTGTGACGGGGAAGTTGGTCAAATGGCGATGAGGGACACAAAGTAGTGGAATGCTGGGTAAAACTGTATAGTACAGCCCAAGAAAAGCTTTGGTTCAGCTGACCTGAAGACTGAACAATTGCATCTTTGTGATAAGTAGAAACGATTGGGTGCTAGTACTACTCTTTAGTCACCAAATGTGTGAAAGGTGTATAGTGCTGTATCACAGTTGAAAGGAATGATGCAAACTAGAATTGCATCGCATCTTTGTTTTGGTGATTGAGGAAATGTTGAAGATAAATAATATGCTTGCAAATGTACTTATGTCTTGTCAATAGAACCCAGCATGATGAGCAAGATTTGGGAAATGTTGGAGAAACGTGTGAGTGTCGTCGCTACACGATGCTACCTTAACAATGCCACCTAGGATAATTGTGAGAAAAAGGGGAAATTGAAAATAACAGTTTCTTTTAGCTACGAGTCTTTTAGTACTCCCTCTGTCTGTGAATAAATGTACATCTAGCATTTGTTCTAAGTCAAAGTTTTAAAATTTTGACCAATTTTATAGAAAATAGTAGTAATATATATGACATCAAATTGATATATTATCAAAGTACATTTAACGACATAAATGCTTTTACTTTTTCCTAAAGGTGATCAAAGTTCTAAATTTTGACTCAAGACAAAAACTAGAATTCAGAGACGGAGGGAGTAACAAGCAAGACAATTCTATCAGTGCCACATAGGATAATTGCGAGTTAAAAGGAGGAAATTGAAAAGAACAGTTACTTTTAGCTAAGAGTCTTAGTAACAAAAGACAATTCTTATTCCCTTACGGGTTGAAGTGATGGAGGATTTCGTCGCATGGAATGATACACGCTCAGGATCATTTACAGTAAGATCGGCCTATCATGTTGAGTTTGAGCATCAATATGGACGCCATTGGCAGCACCCGGATGGGCAGGGAAGCACCAGTATAAACCCCATCTGGAAACTAATATGGAGCCTGGCTATCCCTGGCAAAGTAAAGCACTTTGTTTGGAAATGTCTAAAAGGTGTACTGCCCTGTTTGGGTATTCTTGCTGGGCGTCACATCCCTACGTCCGCACAGTGTCCGGTTTGTAAGATTGGGTTAGAGGACATCCAACATTGCCTCTTCAGTTGCCAGAGAGCGATGAAAATCTGGGAAGAACTGGGACTATCAGAAGACATCAAGAAAGCTATCGCCGAAGACCGGTCGGGTTCGATAACGATGGAAATACTGCAAAGAGCCCAAGATAGTGCGGACGGATTGCCAAAAGCAGAATTATTTGCAGTTGCAGCGTGGTATATTTGGTGGCAGAGAAGACAGCTTGTCAAGGGGGAAAGTATAACGTCCCCGGAGCGTACTGCTACTACTATCAAGGTACTGTGTACAAACTTCTTCCGAGCTTCAAAAACTAATATACCAGATAGAAAACGAGAGCAGATGTGGAGGAAACCACCTAGAGGATGGGTGAAGATTAACGTTGATGCCTCGTTTAGTACTGAAACTATGTCAGGTGCAGTGGGCGCGATTGCTCGAGATGACAGAGGAGAGTTCGTTGCAGCCGCGGCGTGGTTCATTCCACATGTGATCACCGCCGAATCAGCGGAAATACAAGCCATCATAAACGGGGCTTGGCTAGCGCAACACATTGGCTGTAACTCTCTCATCTTGGAGTCAGATAACCTGAATGCTGTACAGGCTTTTGACCAACAAGAGATTTACAATGGTAATGACGCAGCCGTGGTGATGGACGGCAAGCAAATCTGTACCGATTTTGCATCAGTGTCCTACCTACACTGTTTTAGGGAAGTGAACGAGGTTGCTGATCTCCTAGCAAAGCATTCTTCCCTTAGTAGATCCTCTCATCTTTGGGAAGATTTTACCCCTGACTTTATTTCTCAGGCTATTGTAAACGACTTGTCTATTATTTGAGAAATAAAGTTTATTTGCTGTCAAAAAAAAACAAAAGACAATTCTATCAATTGTACCGAATCGTTATTACGTCGGACTGCTAGGACCTATGCACCCCTAAAAAAAGACTGCCCATGTGGAAAATAGTCAAAAAGTCATCGGGCCGATAGGCGTCTTGTCCGATTCTTGATGGCGTCGCGTGTTGCCGCTCTGGCACGCCACCCAAGGACCCTAGTCCGCCTATTTATGTTGGACGCCATCAGCACCCAAACCTTATAGACCCCCATACCCCTCTCCCCTCCACCGCCACCACATTCCAATTTGTCCACCGCTAGCCATGCCGAGGTGCTGGATCACTACCTACGCCATGCTCACTCCTTCGCCGCTCCCACATTCCAATTCGTTTGCCGCTAGCCATGCCGAGGTGTTAGATCACTACGTACACCATGCCCATGCTGAAGCGGCGGCTCGAGCTCACTTGAGCAAATCAAGGCTAGACACGATGCCCGGATCATGGTCGGCCTACCTCCGGACTAGCCAAAGCCGCAGGAGGAGGACTCCAAAGGAGGACACAAGCAAGGCGGATCCAGCTGCGAGCTTCGCCATGCCCAAGGCGTTGGCAGAGTTTGAGATGGCCCAAACGGAGGAGGTGGCAGAGCAGCAAGCCATCCTCGACTCCATCCATTCAGAGGCGGAGGCCAACCACCACCTCCTCCACCAGGTGGACGCCGACATGCAGTGCGCCAGTCCAGCAAATGATCGATGACATGGCAACCATTGCCCCCAAAGGGCAACACACTTCTATTTATACAGGCATTATGCCAGTCCAGACATTATTAGATGCTACTAGTGCAGCTTAACATTCACAATCATTCAGAGCAGCAAAACAAACATATTACAGAAAACGAAACAGACCACGAGAAGATAACTTTTATTGCCAGTTTGTTCTTTTGAGGAGCCGCGAAGCTTCAGAGCTTGGAAACAAGGCTGCCGTTCTGGATGGCTTTAGGCGACTCTGCTTCCTTGACATCGGCGGCATCAGAAGTGCCAGGAGGCACGTCAACAGCAGGCGAGCAGTTGAAGAATCCATGTGGCTGCAAAGGAGAAAACAAGCGTACATTGAGCTGAGATCGTGAAGTAATGACAGAACGCGGCGATTTCATCTCTGGAATCAAAACTACTACAGAAGGAGGATTTTGAAAGGCTCAAACTGTGGTACCATGAGCATGAAGCCGATGCGTTCCACCGGCATGACCGGCCAGTCTTCAAGCCTTGGGATGTGGGTGAGCCCAAATACATACCTACAGATGCAAAATTCAGTTGTAAGGATCGCGAACTGCAAACTGAAGAAACAATGCTGGATATCAGCGTGCAAGGCAAATGTGTACCAGAGGACGATGTCAGTTTCCTCCAAGGGTCTATCCTTCTTCACCCAAGTAGCCAAACCCTCGTGAAGACGTGGATTCTGGTTGGGGAACTCCCCTCCAGGAAACTTCTCATCGCTCTTGTATGGTGTCACCCAAAGATTGTGCTTTAGGAACCCTGCTCTTCGAAGAAACTTTGCCTCGGGCAGAGCAAATGGCAAACAGTTTGAACCAGGCACGAGTCTGAAACCAGTTGGTTGTCCGGTACGATTTACAGCCCTTGTGTTCCTAACCTGATCAAGATGCAAACAAGAAACATGGAAGAAAAGCAGTATGATCAGCTGCCCCAAGGCTCCCAAACAAAAAATAAAGTGCTTTGCTGAGAGGTGTGAACATGGTGTCGATAACATTTGACATGCTTCTTGTGCAACTGGTATGTCATTGCTGACATGAACACTAAAGAAAATCAGGAGAGATGCAGCTGCTTGATGACAGAAAATTCTGAAGTAACATTTGCAGTTATGCACAATGAGATATGGTCTGTTATCATGGATGATTATAATTTGATGTGTTGCCATGAATAATTGACAATGACATGATAAAAAGAAGAGAACAAACAAGCATGTACGTATGTGCTCTTACAATCCAATGTCGCGCAGATGAAGGGTCACAATCTCTCATTGCTTGCAACTCGGATTTCAGTATTTTTTCTTCAGCATAGAAAGCATTGTTGTGCACATTATTTGTGCCTGCACTTTCGACTTTGACATTCACTTCAACCACCTGTGATAGAAACAAGCACGTCAAATGCACTATGCAAATATTGAAGGGTGCATTGTACAAAAGGAATACAAAGTTATTCTACAAGGCCAGTATAGTCAAAAGGCATGAAGCTAGCAATCAACTTCCATTTAGAGATGCATGCAGTGGTCCATTTCTTGAACTAGTTTCTCATGGCATTTTGATAATAAGAAAATGCGTAAAAAGGGACCCACCTGATTATGAGCTTCGTTAGGTTTGCAATCAACAGCCATGTCCATACGGGCAACAAAGAAATGCTGGTGGACAGGTGCATACAGACTAGGAGCAATAGTTGTACCATATTTCCTTGATTCCCCAGGCATCAGAGCTCCCAAACTCAGAATTCCAGTAAGTTTTACTTCAGCTTCTATCTTACCATCCTATAACCAAGGAAAAAACTAATAGTTACATTACAATAAATAAATCATAGAACATAGATGCATCATGCCATTCAATAGAAGAGCTGGATTCAAAATATTAATTTACTAAATCTCAAAGTCTATTCGAAATAGTTATAGTTACCTGATAAAAGTGCCAGTAAAAACCATATTCATAGTTGGCAACTGTGCAGATAAACGACACCGTGAGCCTCCTTGATCGCCTAACTTCTGCTAAACCAGTTCTCCAATCTTGGTGTTTCCAA